ATTTCCTAAAGCAAACAAGATAAGCAGCACTCAAGGTATCACTTCCAGTCCAAAGCTGATAATGGAGGTATTAAATTAGAGAGCATCATGTATCCAGTCCATTGGTCCTTTCGATAGCTTTAAGCATGGGGAGGTGGAAAGTGAGTGGTTTCTGGTTGCATGTTTCGAAGTTTAATTTAATGCAACTCTCTCACTTCCCAACCGAAAAGTCTTAAAAACTTTAACCAATCCTTTGATTGTAAGGTTCCAGTTCCTTCACTAGACACCAGCGAATGAAAGGTCTACAGATCTCATACTAATGCCCATTTATTCCAAACTCTCAGTGGTTCAATTCATCTCCTCGATACTGAAGATATCCAAGTTTTATTTCTCTTTTTTCTTCCCACTTATCTGCATTGTTTCCACACTACAATGCCGCTTTTTCTGGGGAATCCAAAACCCGAATATCTTGTAACCACAGTTACAATTACCATTTCTATCACCAATCACTCATCCTGTAACCACGTGTATTGGATCTGCGTTTCAGATATAATGAAGTTTTATYGGGTCGGATATGATAAGCCCACTTAATAATATGGTTGTTCTTAGTCCAACAATTGGTCAGTAATAGGTCTAGGATTATTATTATTATTTTTTTACCGGTAGACCAAATCTACCCTAAGTTCAAACAATTGATGATTTGTGACTTGTGCTTTCAAGTTTCAATAATTGTGTGCCAACCGGCAAAGTTCTTTTATTCTTGGGAGAAGTACGGACAGGCTCATTGCAGAAACCTGAATCCCARGCCATCCCATACAAAATCTATAATAACAGTTAAATTCAACTTTTGAAATTATAGGACAGATTCCCACACCAACTAAGCATCATGCTTTTGCACTTCGGCCAGTGCGTTMTGAGCTCTCACCTCCACCATCGACGTCTCGAAGTCCACGTAGAACATGTACTCGAAGTGCTTTGTCGTCCCCACGTTGGCGTCATCCACCAGCCTTATCGGGCAGTTCCTGTGCGGCCAACTCTCGATCTTCGTCAGGCTTATATACTAGAATGCGAACGCCAATAGCACCTTAAACAACATCAATGTCCCCTTGTTGTGGGTGAACACTATGCTTGTCTTGAATGGGCGGTCCATCTGAGGGATTATCGGCTCTCAAGCCAGCATCACGAATTGGGTCACATTGCTTGAGTCGTCCTGTACCCCGTCCGCCAGCACCTCCAGCCCGTATAGCTCCGCCGCCCGTGCGCTCGCTATGGTCGTCGTGTCCTGCAGGTTGTTTGTCGCCACGAACTCTGCTACTCCCGCCATGTCGTCCACCGCCTCTTGCACCACGTTGAGACCCATTTTATTCAAAGTCAGCTCGCATTGAGAGAGGGCTTGCAGGTAGCTATGACACGACTCAGGTACTCCTTCTTCACTCTGGGCAAGGCGAGTAGGTAGTGGTGGACGGGGAGTTGTACTTCCCCCATGATGTGGAGGCGATGACAAAGGAGCAGGTCGTAATTCTGGTGAATGCTACCCCCAATGAGTTCTCGACGGGCAAGACGGCCTGATCGGCGATCCAGAGCTCCATTGCTTGAAATGCCACGCCACTTCGAATTGGTCACAAGGGATGGCCTGGCATTTGGGGGAGGCCTTGCCT